CAGGAGGCAGCTGATCGATGTTTCTCTCTCATCGATGTTTCTAACTCTCTATCCCTCTCCCTTCCTCTCTGTACCAAATCAATAAAATATATTTAAGAAAAATATTAATGTTGAGGAGGCCAAAGTTTGTTGTTTTTTTTAAAATATATTTTATTGATTTTTCACAGAGAGGAAGGGAGAGAGATAGAGAGTTAGAAACATCGATGAGAGAGAAACATCGATCAACTGCCTCCTGCACATCTCCCACTGGGGATGTGCCCGCAGCCCAGGTACATGCCCTTGACCGGAATCGAACCTGGGACCTTTCAGTCCGCAGGCCGACGCTCTATCCACTGAGCCAAACTGGTTTCGGCCCAAAGTTTTTTATTACCTAGAATTATTTCAATTGCATGCTGTTTTCCCCTGTCCATAGTAAAAGATAGGAAAACTGTAAGAAAATAAAATCTAGACCTGCCTATTTTTTTCTCTACAAAGTTGGTAAATTTAGTATTATATAACTTTACAGAAGAGAAACTACTTTTGTTTTTTCAAAAAAGAAATAATTCTAAACTATTACAGTTTTAAAAATATATATTTTTTTATTGATTTTAGAGATGAGGGAAGAGGGAGAGATAGAAACATCAGTGATGGGAGAGAATCATCTACCGGCTGCCTCATGCACACCCCACGCTGGGGATTGATCCTACAACCCCAGCATGTGCCCTGGGAATGAAACCATGACCTCCTGGTTCATAGGTCAATGCTCAACCACTGAGCCATGCTGGCCGGGCTGAATGCTTACAATTAAAGAGAGAAAAAACCATTAAGAGGAGAGGGTGCCATTTTTAGCCTTTGCTGAAGGCCTGGCCAGAAGTGTGCAGCCCACAGGAGTTCACAAACTGAGAAGCAGCATCGCCCGCACCCAGAGATCCCTCATCTCTCCCCCCCCCCAATCCCCTTTCCAGCAGGACAGGTTTCACTGTATTTATTTATTTTTTTATATTGATTTTCCACAGAGGAGGGGAGAGGGACAGAGAGTTAGAAACATCGATCAGCTGCCTCCTGCACACCCCCCACTGGGGACGTGCCCGCAACCAAGGCACATGCCCCTGATCGGAATCGAACCCGGGACCCTTGAGTCCGCAGGCCGACGCTCTATCCGCTGAGCCAAACCGGTCAGGGCAGGTTTCACTGTTTTTAAAAGGCAGATTCAGGTGGTAAAACTTACTTGGTTGGCTCATAAAATCAGAATACTATGAATAACACCAAAAGTGTCCCCACCTATTCTTGAAATAATTTTCTTTTTACATTTAAAATGTTTGTTTATAGATTTATTTAGAACAGGGGTTGGCAAACTTTTTGACTCGAGGGCCACAATGGGTTCTTAAACTGGACCGGAGGCCGGAACAAAAGCATGGATGGAGTGTTTGTGTGAACTAATATAAATTCAAAGTAAACATCATTACATAAAAGGGTACGGTCTTGTTTTTTTTTTTTAGTTTTATTCAATTCAAACGGGGCCCGCGGGCCGTAGTTTGCCCACGGCTGGGTTAGAAACTAATCCCTCTTTCAGTATCTTTACCCGGAGAAATTGACAGGAAAGACTGATCTTTCAGCAAGATGTACTTTCCAATGAGAAGTCCCTTCACTTCGGTGAGAAAGCCAGTGCGTTCTGGGCATGTGCCCCGCAGGATGCTGTCACAGCCAGAACTTACGCCTGAATTCCGTCTCCCACCTCCTCAGGCCCTGCCAGTGGAGGGGTGGCTTCTTACCCCCGTTTTTGACGTGTAAATTGACAAGGCTCTGTCCCGGGCCCTGGGAGGAGAGGATTTTAACCCGTGCTGAGGCCGTGGCTTGCCCAGCCCTCCCTGCGTGTCCCCGGTTGGGGCACAGAGGTGGGATCCCGGATCTCCAGGGGCGGAGGGAGGCTCCTGGAAGGGCCTGCAGCCCTCACACTGCCCCCTCCGCCTCGGCAGGAGTGCCTGGCCCGCCTCCTCTCCCCCTGTGGCCCTGTCCAGTCCGTGGAATTGCAGGGGAAGCCCGAGCTCACCGAGAGCCCCAAGGAGCCACGGTCGAAGTTTTTTCACCCCAAGCCTGTTGCGGTAAGCCTCCATTCCTGGGGTCTGCCAGCATGGGGCACGGGGGCTGGGGCAGGGACCCCGTGAGGGGACGGTGATGCTGGGTGGCAGTGGGACTTTCAGGGCCTGCCCTGTGGCTCCAGGCCAGACATGTGGTCCAGGAGGGCTGGCAGGTAAACCGCTCCACTCCTTACCCCAGACTCGCCACTACCTTTAGCTTCCTGTCGCCTCTCCCCAGTGTCCTGAAAGCTCCGGGTCCATGTCTTCCCCACCCCCACCCCGAGGGCCTCCCTGAGCCTCACTGTCATTCCCTGTGGCCTTGAGCTCACGCCTCCTGCTGCAGTGGAATTGGAACTAGTCTGCGCCCTGTGTGTCCGTCCATTCCTGGCCAGGGCTCAGCACGCTATTCCCCGAGTCCCTCCCATAACGGAAGAAAGGCCTGGTGGGAACGGGCACAGTGGGTAACCACGGGCACAGTGGGTAACCAGGGGCACAGTGGGTAACCAGGGGCACACCTGGGTAACTAGGGGTATAGGTGGGTAACCACGGGCTCAGGTGGGTAACTAGGGGCACAGTGGATAACTAGGGGCTCAGGCGGGTAACTGGAGGCTCAGGCGGGTAACTGGGGGCTCAGGCGGGTAACTGGGGACACAGTGGGTAATTAGGGGCTCAGGTGGGTAACTGGGGACACAGTGAGTAACTAGGGGCACAGGTTGGTAACTAGGGGCACAGTGGGTAACCAGGGGCACAGTGGGTAACCAGGGGCTCAGGCGGGTAACTAGGGGCTCAGGTGGGTAACTAGGGGCTCAGGCGGATAACTAGGGGCTCAGGCGGGTAACTGGCACACACCCATCTTGCCTGTGGATTAGGGACAACCTCCTGGTTATCTTCATGTTCAGGGACAGCCCTGCACATCTCCGCTGGTCCAGTGACAATCAGGCTGCGGGCAGGGGCAGCCCTCGTGCCGGGCGTGAGTGGCTGGGGGAACGGGAAGGCCCAGCGATGTGACATCTCTCCCTCCAGGGCTTCCAGGTGGCCTACGTGGTGTTCCAGAAGCCGAAAGGCGTGTCGGCAGCCTTAGCCCTGAAGGGCCCTTTGCTGGTCTCGACAGAGAGTCACCCCGTGAAGAGCGGCATTCACAGTCAGTGCTGGCGGGAGGCGGGGGGCGGGGGGGGTACCTCCTTCCCGGGCCCTGGGTGAGTGGGTGGGGGTCCTTGTGGGGGCAGCATCGCCATGTTCACTTGCCCTGAGAGCAGCGTGTGGGAGGCCTGAGCCTGGCACTGGGTGGCATAGGTGGGGCCCAGCCTGCCACCACTAGAACCTCCCTTACCGAACCCTGACCAGTCTCCATGCCTGTGGCCCGTGTGCGATAACCCAGCTGGCCCGGCGGGTCCTGGGGTGGCCCGCACGTCACCTGAGGAGGCCTGTGTCCCTCGCTCCCCCCCTCAGAGTGGATCAGTGACTACACAGACTCCGTGCTGGACCCGGAGGCCCTGCGAGTGGAAGTGGACACATTCATGGAGGCGTACGACAGGAAGATGGCCGAGGTGGGGCTGCGTGGGGGCTGCACATTGTCGTCGCTGTGGGGAAGGTGGTGCCGCGGGTGTGGGGTGGCTCCTGAGGGGGCGGGGGAGGCAGCTGACCTGGTCACCATGCAGTCTAAACACCCCTCTCCCTGCTGAGTCCCGGTCGCCTGAGCTGGTGGTGTCTAGTCACTAGGTCTGTGGAGGAGGACGGTCCGAGGCTGGAGGAGGCACCGTCGCTGCGGGGGGTGCCCAGGTTCTTCCCAGCAGGCTCCGAGGCTGCGGGCGGGCCCGGCCATCACAGGGTCCTGTCCTTGCAGGAGGAAGCGAAGGCCAAGGAGGAGGAAGGGGTCCCGGACGAGGAGGGCTGGGTGAAGGTGACGCGCCGCGGCCGGCGGCCCGTGCTGCCCCGGACGGAGGCAGCCAGCCTGCGGGTGCTGGAGAGGGAGAAGC